AAAAAAAAAAAAAAAAAAAAAAAATCTAAGCAGACACAGACACAAACAAACAAAACACAAAACTAAAAAGAAAGGCCCTTCCACAGCAGAACAGCCGGCCCTAACCAGCAGAGAACGGTGCCATTTAAGCAGCCTTGGATCCTCGCGGGGTATCTACCAGAGGAAAGGGAAGGCTTAGTTCAACCAATTCTCAACGATGTAAGAAGTGGGGCACAAACACAATCTTGATAATGAAAATGCAAGTACAGTTGGATAACAAAATCCATCTGAGGAAGAAGTCAGAATCGAGGAAAGATCCAAGATTAGGGGACGACTTCCGAAACTGCTATAAAGCCTATACGAGAAGACAAACCCGAACACAAATCAGTCTCCGACACGGCCCACCTCAACCGCAGGGACACCGAAACCACACTCACTCTAGCACCGCCCGAACACGACTAACACCACTAGCCGAGCATCGGAGCGCCAGAACCCCGCCGACTATCACCACTAGTCGGAACAGGGGGTAGCGGTTCAGCCCCTCGGCTCCGACACACCGTCAGAGCCCCGCCCCGCCTCACGACCCCCAAACCATCCAATATATACGTAGACCACCGGCACCCCGACTAGAAAACCCCAAACGAAGATCCGCCGGAAAAGTAGAGCTGCCAGAGGGGCTCACCATTCGCGCACCAAGTTGGAGATAAGAACATTAGCGGAAAAGACGACAGACTTACCTTTGATCGAGACCGGCAACCACCAGCTGCAAACCGATCGACGACCAAGGGCTCGCCGCCTCCAATTGCTACTACGCCAGCGAACTAGGGCAATCCAGACCGACATCACAGGCATTCCGCGGCAACATTGGAGGCTTGGGACAACAGAGTAGGGGAGGCAGTCGAGCGCGACCGGTGGTCACACCGAGGAAGGCAACGCAAATTTGAGACGAGGGTTTGCTGAGGGGATTTGGGGGTTTTTTCACTTGTCCTTTTTTTTTTCGAAATCACAATGTTGGAATTATATTAATGAGAAAATTCATCTCTTAATTCAGGAGCATTCACATTAAATAATCAAAAATCATAATTAGATAGCGGAACCGTATATTTGTGAATCTATGGATCTGATCCCCATAAATGTTACGTTCGGACATGATCGATCACGAATACATCCTCAATCACAAATAGGGTCGGTTTTACGATCTTCATCAGTTAAACCTCGATTTTATGATCTTCATCAATTAAACCTCTTTATGGGCCTTTGTTCTAATTCTTGATATTCTCTCTAATTCTTGATGTGGATAATAGAAACTAGTATCAATTTAGTATATTGGGAATCATAACAAATAAGATCTATATATATTTCTACGGTTGGCCACCCATTATTACCGCCTATTATCACTTAACCATAGTAATATTATGTATTCGCTCAATCATCTCATATCAATTACGTAACTCATGGACTCTACTTTATTTACCTCACTTAATTGAGTCCATCAATTATATGAATAACTAATATAATTGTATATAATATGTTTCTTATAATCTCCCACTAAGTGGATACATATAATTGATGGACTCAATTGAGTGAGGTAAATAAAGTAGAGTCATGAGTTACGTAATTGATATGAGATGATTGAGTGGATACATAATATTACTATGGTTAAGTGATAATGGGATGCATACTATTTCCTAAGGATTTTTTATTAATTTTAGTTTCGCTAATTTATGTTATTCATCTTTAGACTACCTTGAACAATCTGGTTTATCTCATATACAAGTAACAGAATTTCTGTAGTATTCACCACATTTCAAATGTGGTTAAACCCTGAAAATCACCATACTAGCACACTCAATGACATAGATCAAATATGGTGAGTGACATAGAAATTACATGCAATGAAATCTTTATCATGTGTATTTTTTAATTGGTTCAACTTTATTCTTTAGCGAGATCAATCCATAAATGCAACACAAAGTCACAAAAACTGGAAAACTTGATCCATCATGCATGTATGTGTATGGTTGTTTGAATCTTCTTTTGTCATGTTAAACTTTTCCCGCTTAAAACTGTTTTCCATACTTGATGTTTACTTTTGTTTGTTCGGGAAGAAGAACGATTGGGGGAGTTTTTTTTGTCCATTTTATTAGTTTTTCTCTTTGATTATTTGGTGTTTTCCCCCGTTTTATACATTTTCTAGTAAATCCAATCCACATTGTTAAGTTCTATGTGTTTTGTAAACGATGTTTCGTTAGTAAGTATCTGCCTTTGTTTGTGCATTTTAGTCTGTGTGGTTGAAGGTGAATCATGAATTGAGCTACGAGTAATCCGCTTTGAGACTCAGTTTACAAACAAGTTATGATAATCAAGCCACCTAGGAACCCGACGAGCTATGCATAAAATAAACTTGCTTTCCAAACCATCGTGGTCCGCGATACAAGTGATGGCCTGCAAGCCGTTGTAGCCACAAGCCTTTACTCCTAGACCTTCTGCTCATGAGGCCTTCACGACCCGCGATGAGAAGACCATCGTGACCCTTCATGTAGTAAGTGTTGCTCGCTAGCACCCGCTTCTAAAGTTTTGCGGCTACTAAGACCTTCTTGGCCAACGACATTGATTATGACCCAGACGAGCACCTCGCAAGCACTTTGCGAGCAGGCTCCGCAACGACCCGTCGGGGCCCGCGATGGTTGGGCATTACTTTTGCATACTTGGACAGAGTTTTGAGCTAATTTTGTTTCCGTTTAAATAGAAACTTAGAGCAAACATGTTTGTATACAAAAAATTTCACTCAAAATTTATTCAACTCAAAATCTAACTCTTTAACTCCACTCCAATATCCTCAATTTTATCAATATTATTAAATAACATCATCCAATCATTCTTACACATCACATCTACTTTAATTAACTATTCATTTACTCACATAATTTTAACTAACCATCACTTTATATCATCTCTCTCATACTTTTACACCAGATCAACTTTAATTATTATATTTTAAATATTATTTTAATATTAATCCAAAATCCCACTAACAACTAATCATACCATCTTTTTTTTAAATTAATTGTAGTTAACAAAAAGTTTCACGTTTAGTGAACACTTGAAGAACAGCTCGGGGACCGATTTGGAAAGGCTCGAAAATACCAAAATTCACTTGTACTTTGCTTTTGTCACAGGAATTTTCCATTTTTGCTTCTCTTATGCTTGAGTTGTTAGAGTCTAACTAGTGATGTAAGCAAATCAAACCGAACTGGGCTTGGGTTGTTCGAGCTCATGTTCGTTTACATTCGAATAGTGTTCGTGTTCGTTCGTTTATTTTTTATCAAAATTTGATCGTTCGAACTCGAGAATAAAAGAATCAAATAAAAAAAATTATTTTTTTTATTTTTTTATCAAAAATATTATGTAAATATATAAAAAAATAAATAAAATTATGTTAGATTTTAGATTTTTTTATTAAAAATATTATGTCAATACATAAAATAACATAAAATATATTAATTAATGTTAGTGAACATTATCGAACGTTTACGAATGAGCTCGTGTTCGTTCGATTATTAAACAAGGCTAATTTTCTGTTCGAACTCGGCTCGATTAGCAAACGAACGAGCTTTTATCGAACACGAACGAGCTCGAACGAGCTTTTGTTTGCGAACGTTCGGTTCGTTTACAGTTCTAAGTCTAACACATGGAAGCAGTTTCTTGTGACCTCACTTGTTATTCTAAGTTTTTATTTCTCTATTATTATTGGTGATTGAATGTGAGTTCTCAATTTTGATTAACATGAAATTCAATTCGAGCATGAGTTGACTCACCTAGAGATAGAAATAAATTGTATTTGTTCTTGTGATCATTAATCTATTGAATAGTTCAACTTGTGCGAGTTGTTTAAATCCTAGGGTTGGTCAATTGATCACCGCTAATCTAGTTAAATAACGTTTAGAATTGGAAGTGGATGAATTATTCGACCTAGGCGCATATAGGTAGGCATGTTCGTAGTTCTATTGGTTATCTGCTATTTGATTTGATGAACGCACCTTTATGTTTATTCTCATTTTACCGCTAATGTCACATTATGATTATTATACCAACAATTCAAATTAATATTGCAATAGTAGATAATTTGCTACAAGTAGCAATGGTACTTTGTGCTCGTCATCTTTAGAAAATATATACAAATTTCGTCTTACAATTGTTGGATATATGTGTACTTGCCTTTCGAAAAATGGCAATAAACAACACAAACATAGAATGATGAAGAACGAATCAATCAAATAACAAACATGAACCACGGACACGATTCTCGAACAAACTCCAACAAAGAATTCAAATCAATAAACAAGTCGAGGTACGTGAAATACATTCTCCGTGAGACAAAATCGCT